GGCCACGAAGCCGGAGGGAGGGGCTCTGGGGCGATCCCTCTGCCAGGTCCTCGCCCTGGCCTTGGGGGCCCAGCCCCGCGGCTGTGCAGCGCCCATAGGGCTCACACACAGCATTGGGGGGCAGGGGGACAGTGCATAGCGCTCCTACACAGCATTGGGGGGCAGGGGGACAGTGCATAGCGCTCCTAGCATTTTAGGACCCCGGGCAGGTTAAGAGCAACTCAGCTAATCGGACTCCACCGTTTACCAAGGAGGGAAATTGCAGCCTGACAGGTGTGGCTCCCTCACCTGGTGAGTCAGAGCTGCAGCCAGCGCCCCTCACCGTTCACCGTTCAGCGTTATGTGTCCGGTCGGTCGTGACTCAGCCCTCTGGCAGGCAGCTCCTTGCACGGAGACCCGTGACTAAGGCCGACCAGCCCAGCTGGGGGAGGGGGCCCTGCTGGTCCCGTCCGGGGATAAAGCCCGTGAGTCTAGGAGTTGGCTGGGTGGGAAGGGGCTGGAGAGGGCGTTCCCAGCCGGAAACTGCAGGTGCAGAGATCCAGAGGCCAGGGGCGCTCGGGCCAATGAGGGAAAGGTCCAGCGCCTTGTGGTCAGATCGCAGGGAACAGGGGCCTTGAAGAGGAAGGATGCTCCGGGCAGGTACCAAAGGTCACCCCTCCCGCCAAAGCCCTCGGGCTCGACCTGTGTGTCCCACCGTCCCCAGAATCACCTTCACAAACCTGTCCCTCCTCCTGTGATCCATTGTTCACCCAATGGCACTGGCCACCTCCCAATGTCTGAGGCACTGTGTTGACCTGGGCATAAGAGGGTGAAGACCATGGCCTCAGCCCCCCAAGGAGGCAGACATGACTCAGTTATCACCCCTCAGTGAATTGGAAGGAGAATCGGTGGTGAGGCAGGCCTGGGGGGTGGGGGGGTGGCCTCCGCACAGGGGAGGGGAGGTATAGGGATGTGCTTAGTGTTGCTTGAGCAGAAGGAGAAAGGAAGGGAAAGGTTATGACGGGGCCGGGTAGGCTGTGGGAGTTTAGATTTTATTCTCCTTGAGCTCAGATTTGTACAAATGCAGGAGGAGGATGCATGGGAGTGGGCTGGGTGGGCGAGAGAGGTTTGAAGCACCAGGGAAAGGGACTGGTGTTTCAAACCAGGGAGGTGATGGGCACAAGAGAGAAGTAGATGAACTTGACGACTATTTAGGATGCACCACATCAAAATTTAACTCACCTACATGTAAACTCTAAAACTATGAAACTTCTAGAAGAAAGCTTAGGAAATACCTTAATGGTCTTGGGTTTGGCAAAGATTTCATAAATATGTACATAAAGCACAAACAATAAAAGAAAAAAGGTTTAACTTCATCAAAAAACACTTTTGTTCTTTAGAAGGTACTATTATGAAAAAGCCACAAATGAAGAGGAAATAATTGTCAAAATTATTGAGGGTTTGTATTTAGAATACATAAATAACTTTTACCACTTAAAAATAACTCAATAGCCCTGGCTGGTTTGGCTCAGTGGATAGAGCATTGGCCTGCGGACTGAAGAGTCCCCGATTCGATTCCAGCCAAGGGCACATGCCTGGGTTGCGGGTTCAATCCCCAGTAGGGGACCTGCTGGAGGCAGCCGATCAATGATTCTCATCATTGATGTTTCTCTCTCTCTCTCCCCTTCTCCCTTTCTCTCTGAAATCAATAAAGAAATATATATATTTTAAAAATAACTCAATAACCCTAGCCAGTTTTTCTCAGTGGTTAGAGCATCGGCCGTGGACAGAAGGGTCCCAAGGTTGCAGGCTGGATCCCTAGCCCTGGTTGGGGCGCCTGTGGTAGGCCACCAATCGATGTGTCTCTCTCACATCGATGTTTCTCTTTCTCTGTCTCTCCCCCTCCCATTCTCTCTAAAAAATCAATGGAACAATATCCCCGGGTGAGGATTAACAAAAAAATAATAATTCAATAAGAATGGGAAAAAGATTTGAATAGACACCTCATTCAAGAAGATATATGAATGGCAAATAAGCCACGAAAAATTGCCCAACACATTATTCACTGGGGAAATGCAAATGAATAGTCGAAGGGTGCACTCTGGCCAGTGTGGCTCAGTTGGTTGAACATTGTTCCAGGCACCGGTTTGACTCCCGGACAGGGCACATGCCTGGGTTGCGGTTCAACCCTGGGTTGGATGCTTACGGGAGGCAGCCGGTCAGTGTTTCTCTCTCACATGGAAGTCTCTCTCTCCCCCTCTCTCTAAAAATCATTAAATGGGTGTTCTTGGGTGAGGATTTTTTTAAAAAGATGGGTGGTTGCCAAGAGTTCAGGCGCGGAAGGAGGAATGAATAGGGGAGCACAGGGCATTGTAGGGCAGTGAAACTATATGATACTGTGAAGGTGGATACATGACATGCATTTGTCAAACCCCTGTGATGTACAAAACTGAGTGAATCCTAATGTAAACTGTGGACTTTAGTTAGTAATAATGTATCAATATTGGCTCATCAATTGTAACAAATGCGCCACAGCAATGCAAGATGTTAGTAATAGAAGAAACAGTGTGTCAAAGGGAGAGGGGATCTATGGAAATTCTCTCTACTTGCTGAGCAATTTTTTCCCCTAAAAGCAGATTGTTTAGGTTTATTTAAAACACACACACACAGGAACAATGGTTCATTTCTTCAGTGATGGACATCCACATCATAATCCTCCTCATTTGGCATCACCAATGGCTCCCCAAACATCAAAGACAAATTCATCTGGGAACGCAAAGTCTCCAAGAGTTTTGTCAAGTGCCACAGCGAATCCATCTGGATTACCTTTGCCCTTTCCAGCTTCAAATATTGTGGTGGCTCATTCACTATCTCGAATTCCCATGCACAAGTCAAGAAGATCATCAACCTTCTCAATTGCCGGGGCATTGGTTTCAGAGGGCACTTCCACAGTGGCAGGATCTGGATCTCAGGCGAAGTGTTTCTCTTCTGGTACCAATTTTTCCTGTCGAGGTACGTTCAGCTTTTGACCTTGGCTCTATTTTGCTCGATGTGAAGAGAGTAGACTTATGAATTTCCTGGCCTATGCACCATTATGATATGGAAATTTCGGACTGGAAATGCATGGTGTTCCCCTGGGCAGGATGGTTTCTCCCTGAGCTCTTTGTCTGTTGGAGTCGAAGAATGAAATCACGGACAGAAGACTGTGTAGTAAAGGTGGCAATTTATTGAAGAACAAGTACAGACTCCCACGTGGGGAGCGGGAGAGAGTCCCCGCTGAGCAATTTTTCTGTAAACCTAAAACTGCTCTGAAAAACAGTCTATCTTTAAAAAAGAAAAAAAAATGCTGAACATACATATGACCCAGCCATTCTACTCCTAGGCAATGTTACCCATAAAAGCATATGTCCGTATAATGACTTGTGCATGAATATTCATTGTAGTTTTAAAGGTAATGGCCCAAACTAGCAACAACCAAATGTTCATCAACAAATTGTTAGTATAGAATACTACTCA